GAAGATAGATGTACATTTATTATCTATATTATATATTGATTTTTACAATAAATTGTTGGATCTTGAATCTCACTAAACAAAATGTTTGAATCAAGATAAATTTGACAAAAACTAAGTTGATACATATATGTATTAAGACTATTTAATATTGTAGTTCTTTACAGACAGTTCAACCTAATATTAAGTTGATAGCTCGAGTGTTTGCGAAACTCCAGTTTACAACAGATTTGACGGATGCAAGACTTGGCTTACCATCGATATAATATCGAATAAACTCCTTCGAATAATTTTCAAGATAATTCGTTAAAATATAATATTGAAAACAAGCCTTGAGATCAATCAGGATATACAGAAGCATTGACCATAACATCAATTTGGATTGGATTGATCATACACTATGGAAATAACAAGACAAAATATTTAAAAGTGCTCTGCCTTATAGTTCTCAAGGTCATAAGGAGGTGCCATTTGATGGCCAAATGTTATTGCAATCCGTAATGTCATGTTGCAAGTTTTGGAGTCTATTAATTAGAAGAATCTTAAAGCGGCAAATATAATTATCATAACTTTTTTTTATTTTTATAGAATCGAAGTATGGCCTTAATTTTTGTAAATTACTTTACTTTTACCTATGTATATATTCGGGTACAGTCTTTATACAAAAATGTACATAATTCTCTTAATTCATTGAAATTAAGTTATAATGATTTTATTAAATTGTTTATTTTTTATTAATTTTATCTATTACATACAAATATGTTAGTTGTTATGACAGAGATAATTCCGCATCTCCTTAAGTTGTTATTTAGAAGTTATTATCGTGACAGGAAGGAGCATATACTAAAGCATATTATTTTAGCACTTCACTAAATATAATAATAAGAGCAGCAGTTTAATTTATAAACACATGTGATGAGAGGATATTTCCTCTGTTGCCCTTCTCCTTTCGATACACGACTGCTGTAGCAATTATATATTTGCCTATAATATTTGCAGTGCTCTGCTCTACTGCAAACCATTTTATTGCCAGCTAAAATTACCTTGACTTATCGAAACGTTTTCATCTTATCAGTCTCTCTGTTAGAGACAACTTAGTTCTGAACTTACATACTAGATGAATGCAATATGCAATGTGATATTTTTTAAGATGAATGTTTATATATATACCATACATCAATGGTGTGAAAAATCTATATACATTGTGTGTGTTCATAATACTGTAAGTCAAACCAATTCAAGTTGCTCTGAGACTAAAGATCTATATAGTTCTTCATAATTCAATTTGGATCAGAATATAACCATGTGCTAGACACTAACTTATAACGCTAAAATGGGTCTATTCTCAATATGTGCCCCAATTGCAGTTCTATTCCCCATGTGTTCTTGCCATGAAGCACACATAAATCTAAATTTGTTGATCCTATCTCTTATCTCTCTCACTCCCAAAGAATCCATTCGCCTCTCACACAACCAATATCCATCCACATTCTAACTCATGTATTTATCTTGTAGTTCCTTTTATGTTAACTGTTAACTCTTTTACAGATCCCTGCTGGTTACAATAACAAAAACAACAATATCGCAACTTGAATCAGTTTCTTCGCTTACGAAATAAATGACGTCATAATGAGTGTTGAATATTTAGCGGTTTATCGAAAATTTAATTTCATTGCATTACACAATTACCTCATTTCATTAGTAATTAAAATTCACAAAACTTGCACCGACTTATATATATATATATATACTATACAGAAATATGTTTATGTTAAGATTTAAAGATTATCAAAATAATAAATAAGCAATTGAGTATTTAACTAAATTGTCAATCTCTCAATTTTAAAGCTAAATATTTGTTAAATAATTTCTAGTATAAAAAATAATACGTGCAACCTTGATTAACGCTTCTAAAGTTTATTTTATTATCACTTGATATATAAATTAAAGAAAAAAAATTAATTAATTAGCATAATTTACAGGAAGCTTAGATTTATTTACAAAGCACAGATATCTTCTTACAGATGCAAAATAAAACCTGAACCGTACTGAACCGTACTGAACCGCGAAAAATGCTACTAAATCAACACAGTATCTACGTCTTCAGAATAAAAAGTGGGCAGTACCTTCATAGTTAATTAAGCTTGACTACAATGGCAATAACAACAACAACAACCACGGAATTAATAATTTAATATTAGTAAGCTAAGAAAAATAATATAAAAAATTAGTAATGTCACGAAAAGTACGGAAAGACTTGTAATGGCTAAAAAAATAAATAAATAGAAATAAGCAATTCAATGTCAATTTAATTTAATAACTAATTGTAGGCATACATAATATAATAAAAAATGATATACGATATATCGAAATAAAATTACACAAACAAAATGCACGCTTAGCGTACAATTTTACAGATTTACAATATACAGTTTTTTTTTCACATAGGCAATAAGTAGAAAATATATTGACGAGTATGTATGTAATTAGTAAAATATAAGAGTGTTAGCTTAAAAGCTTAATTAGAATTAAAAACTAAGTTGCAAACAAAATTATCACCATCATTTTTGTGTTCATCATCATCATAATCGTCATTATCTCATCTTCTTAGTTATATTCTCTCTAATCATCAAAATTTTTTTTTGGTGTTAATAACAGTTTTTTCTAAAGTTTTTATTTTAATAAAAATCTCACAGGTCAATCCAGAAATCGGTGCAAAGATATCACAAGTGAGACTGGATCACAGTATTTGTTGTTGTTCTTTTACTCTGGTCGACACATATTTCTGTGATCCAGCACTTGGCCTTTCGGACATTCATTAGGCTGTAAAAGGAAACGATCGTCAATGCTAACAGGCGTTACACCGTATTGCTCCTTTTGCTCACCTGTTGGTGTCGGGATTGGCACTTCACCATGTAATGGTGCTAACGGTACCTTTTCAGTTGGTGCGCCTAAGTTAATTGGAGTTGGACTTGAGGCTGATTGCGCTGTATCGTCAGTGAGTTTGTGTTTCAACTCATCATATTTCTGTGCTACTGTATTTCCAAAATCCTTAGCTGTCTCACTTATTTTGCTTGCAATTGGTTTTGCTTGCTCACCGAGATCTTCAGCACCTTTCTTTATGGAACAGCCGAGATTTTTAAACCATGATTTAACATCACCTTCATCGGATTCTTTTGAATTATCATCACAACCGGCATTTGCGTAAGCCACAAACAAAACGAGACCCAAAAGGGTCAAGCACATCAATGATTTCATATTTTCACAAAATTATTTATTAAGATTTTCTCAAGTTGAACACTCGTTTGACTGAATCTTCTGCTTTGCAGTTCTAATTGTCACTCCTATCACGTCGAAGGTTTTCACAAGACTGACTATCTGTAGCTACAGCGCTGGACTCGGTGGCGCTTGTGGAACGCAAACTTGTTTATGGGAACAAATTAAAATTCATTTAATTCACTGTGGGAAAAAAACAAGAGCAGTACATGTTAAAAAAACTGGTTTAAGTAGATTTGTTTTAATTTGGCCTAGGGTGACCATTGCGTAGAAATAGTAGCAAATAATAATTATTTTGTTTAATGACGCAGTACCTGTTACTTGCACTTTGCAACTTGCAATTTGGTGGGCGTGTCATTTAAATGTGTAAAATTAAATTGAAACAAAATAAAGTTTAGTTAATTATGCATAAATTTTTATTTTATTTAATTATTTGCATTTGTTTATTAAGTTTAATACAAACAGCTATATGGTCAACTTAAAATTTTTTAATCATCGATTTAATTATTTAATAATAATAAAATAATGTAAAAATAGTTTTTGTTGTTGTAGTTCACTATCTTTGGAAACCTCTTTCTTAACTACTACATTTTCTATTAAAGTAAAAATAGTCACTCTTGTTATGTTGACGTAAAAAATAAAATTTATTAGAAAAATTAATATAAAAGTCAGTTAAGTTTGTATTTAGAAGATTGGTTTTAGTTGTCAACAGCATTTATTCGTGTTCTGCGTTCTGGGTGGTTTTGATATAATTTACAATAAATTCATAAAAAATATTTGTACTTTAGGAATGCTAAAAAATTATGTTCTTATTTTAAAAATAAAATTTAATATAAATCGTTCAATTATTTAGAAATCGTTAAGTACCATTTTTGAGATTTGGTTATTTCTATACATATAGTAATATGTTACAGCAATGTATAGTAATGTATCACACTCAAACTTTAAATGGTTTTGACGATTTACTATGTTCGTATGTGGTCTCGAATTATCTTGATCAGATCTTTTCATTCTTTATTCAGTAATTTACTTCAGAACTATACTTCAGAACTGATTATGGTTTCTCAGAATCTGACAATTTCCTGCACCCCAATTACTTAGATATTTTATTTTAATAGTGAATACTTAAAGAATTTCTTTAAGTTCTGATTACTCAAGTATTTTATTTAAATCCCGAATTTGTCAAAATTTTTGCTTAAATAATCTCAACTGAGTTTTATAGATTGAATGTATTTTACCAATACAATATACATTTTTTAATTATTTCTGAGGTTAGGTCGTTAATTTAACACATAAAAATTAAAAATGTTTTTTTAAATAAAAATAACACTAATAAATTTGTGTTATATATTTAATTGTATATTAATTTTTTAAAAAAATTATTTTTATTGTAGATATTTCGGTCTACTTTATAAAACATCTTGAGTACAATGGTCTACGAAGTAGCTGGTAAGATGATTTATGAAGTAGATTGAAATATTTGTAGTAAAAATAATTTTTTATAAAAATTTATATACTATTAAATATTTAATATAAATTTATAAATATAAATTTTCAATCTAAAAATCATTTTTAATTCTTATGTGTTAAATTAACGACCTAAGCCTAATAATAATTAAAAAAACGTATTGAATATTGGTCGCAATAACAATTTATTCAATGCAATATATTTATATATGGAAGTTATATACATCAATATTATGAACTCTAAAAATTTTCAGTAGACTCTTAAATTCTAATTAATTAAATATATTATAGAATTTGATTAAATATAAATTTTTTTACTAAATTCATTATAACCAAGCTCTGCCATGAGCACTACTCTTTTATAGATTGTTTCTTATTTTTTTCGAACTGTCATTGTTCCACAATATTTAAGAGATATAAATAATTATTTTCGTAGCTGTTTTAATATTTTCAATATAAAAACAAAATTCAGTTTTCTATATATTTCAATTAATGATAAAATTTAAACAAATTTTAATAAATAAATAAAATAAAATTAATATAAATAAAGTATCTACAAAATGAAAAAAAATTTTAAAAAATAAATAAATTTAAATAAATTTAAAGTATCTACAAATTGTGAGAAATTTTAATATATGAATAAATTTAAATAAAGTATCTACAAATTCAAACAAATTTTTATAAATAAATAAATTTAAATAAATTGAAATAAAGTAGCTACATAAAAATAAATTTCATAAAATAGAAATCCAAATATAATAGATAATGTGAATACTAATATATAGTCTTATCTAAAACTGAATCTACTGATCATATATTGTAGTGTATTTTAAAAGTATAAAGCTTTCGCTCTCGTCAAGACTCTCGCTAGTGAGCTTGCAAAAATATCTAAAAGATATTTTTGTCTCTCTAGTTTGATTGTTATGTTATTTATTTTACAAATAAACCGAAAGTATCTTGTTGTGCAATTCAGCTAAAAATGAAAAGCATTCTGTTTTAGAATAGTAATTTATTCAAATTAAATGCACATTGTTTCATTCATTAATTTTTTTCCTACTAAAAGTGTAAACTGAGGTTTAATACTTCACATTGCCGTCATTAAAAACAAATCTGTTACGTCATGTTTGACTTAAAAACTAAATTTAACTTAAATTTGTTTTTAGTTTTGTATAGTAAAACATTTAAAAATAACGTTTGGTTTGAAATTAAATTATGAATGAATTTTTTATTTAATTTATATTTGAATCATTGTATTATCTATAAATAATTTGTATTTTTTATAATACTAAACCATATAGTTTTATTACTAAACACGCATCATTTCTTGAATAAATTTCTTATCATCTTAGCTTCACAAATTCTATTTTCTGATGACTGATTTAAACAAGTATTTGAACAATTAGTATTATATATAATAATATATAATAATTAAAGTACTTGAATTATGTTGAATAAGATGAAAATATCGTTATTATCTTTGTGTTTTTGTAAATAAACAATATAGTGCGTATGTATAAAGTGGATGCCTATAAAAAAATTTCTCTGATACATAAATTAGTCAATGAGATGGGTGGGACCCTGTAGTACCTCCAGCTACCAAAGAGTAAAAGTGCTCAGTTGCCCTGACTCGAAAAAAGGATCAACATACATACATACATACTTAATACATAATTGTAAAAGTAAACCATATTCATATCTCAGATATAAATAAAGCATAGAAATTGAAAATGGGATAATCAAGTATAAATAACTTCCGAGATCCTCACACAAGTGAAAAAAAATAATCAGAAATGATTTTGCAATAATTTTGAAATAATTTTTAATTATAAATATGTTTCTGTTTTTGTCTATAATATTATAATTATAATATAGAAAATTTTAAAGAAATTCAATTAGATATTACTAAATCAAAGTATTATTATTTTTCAAAATACCAAAACTATCTAATAACTCGTTAATCAAGAACTTAGTACTTACTTACCCTCGACAATATTGTAGGATAATGATTTATGTACTTGCACAGAGTTGGGCCTTAAGCATACATGACTAGAAGATGGAATTAGTATAA